ACATCCCAATTATCACTCATAGACGATTGTCTAGATCCACTGGAAGATGTCTGCTGGTTGAGCATATTAGGCTTAGTATCCTACTACTAGCTAGTAGAACTGAACAACAAAAATCGACATATGACTTCTTTTAGCACCTCACATGGCTGGAATCAGTTTAGTGTTATTTCATATGCTCTGTGTAATGTGCCATCCACTTTGAGCAGCTAGAGGAACTTAATTACTTACAATGTGAGAACTGTCTCAATATATGTGAAGGGTGTGTTGTTGTTTGGCTGCACATTTCAGTTTGTGGGCGAGAGTCTGAGAATGTGTTTCAGTAGATAAGAAAGAAGCCTTGAAACTAAAGGCAGGAAAATGTGTTCTTATAAGTATACACGTAGGTTTTTTTATTATGTTTTGGCAAGAACAAAATGTCCATTGAATCACAGTGGGCAAGAATCAACCTGTGACTAAAACAGAAGTCTAGAGCTTTCTAGGCTTTGATGCATATCATCAAACGTTTTTGGCCAAATTCCCCAACTTGGCTGAGCCACTGTCTATCCTCAATAAAGCTGATTCACATATAAAGAAGACGGTGATCAAACATTTCAGTCACTGATACAAAATATTCATACACTCACATCATAAAGGTGTATTCATTCAGAATTTATAAGATTGGGATATCACTTGCCCTAAATAGCATTAGAAAACAAAGAAATATGGATCAACTTGGAACACTAGGACTATCAAACCAATAATTCGTACTTGTGCCATGATAAAAGTGTGGCATTTTGTAACAGATGAGAATCCACAAACACAAAAAAAGTCAGTGGCAAAAGCTGTCCATGTGACCCAGGAAAATGTATGAAACATAATCTAGACAGATCTCCATATGGAAAAGTGACACAAGTCACATGCACTAAAGCTGCTTCCATGACATATCAGGGATAGGAAGGCCAACCATAGAAAACTCAAGTATCTAGTCATGGAAAATTAACAGTATTTGGTGACATAATGCATGAAAACATATTGAACACTGACAAGCTAGTCTTTTTCACTGCCTGAATCAAGAATCAGAGGTTAAGGAGGTTGACAAGTCAGAGGACATTAAGAGCATGGAGTTGTACTACCTCAACCTAGCTGCCGAAGAGGAAGATGATAAGCCGTTTACGGAGAAGCCCCAAGGAAATTGGCTGTGGCATAAATATTGACCTCCAAATTACTATGGTTAGGTTTAAAGTCAATTATAATCAAGTATGGTAGTAGGAGTTTAGCAGGTACCATAGCTTGAAGATCCAAACATCAAATTGGAGCTGTGTCCCATCCTTTTGAAGCCGTTAAACAAATTTTCATGCAAACGTATCTGTGTATAACTATGGAAAATGAATAGCTGGTGGTGGGTGTTGTTGGCTAACTGTCTTTTCTCTAGTATATCAATTTAATTAAAATTAAGAACAGTTATTTGCAGAGAGCTCATGAGTGGCTTTGTGCAAAAAATGTAAAACAAATTAAAAAAAGAAAAGGAAATGCATTTCCAGATAGTAAACGGGTTGAGAAAATGGAGCAACTCTTTTGGACTACATTACTATTTACAACAGAAAACTTCAGAGAGATTTGTTGCATCTTTTCAACTCCTTGGAACCTCCTGCAACACCAGTGAGGTTGTGGCATGACACAAAGTTTGAGAACACTTCCTAGAACATTGATAATTAGTGCAACTGTCAGTAATCACTAAGAATTCTAATACAGTCATAAGCTGAAAGGTGTTTACAATACTTGCTTTCTGAGCACTAACGTTAATATAGAAGATTTTTACATGAAAACTACCTGATATTTGTTTCGTGAATGTATGTGCAACTTTTTGTTTCACTTACACTCAAGGCTACATCTTCAAGTGTATACCAATATCCAAGTATACAGCACAGAGTGGTAGAAGCCTTTGTTCCACTGTAATTCTCCCAAGTAATTTTCTCTTCATGTTCATTAGAGTGGGTTTCTTGGCCCTAGACGGTGATACTATAGTAGACATTTGAGCTTCTGGTGTTAGTAGTTGGCTAAAAATATTTTAGTGTGGTCCATTCTACCTACCTTACAACAGTCTAAATATATACTGTGGCAACATGAACATTGGTCTACATTGTGTAAACAGCTGTTGAAAAGTCTTACTTGTGCTAGATTTTGACCAATTGTTTCGTATAGTACCAACAGATGGTTGTATGAAAGCAGAGAAGCATACCTCTTGATGTTGATGGTCAGCCATGACAGTAAAGGTTGTTCACTGCTGGCTAGAGTGTACATGACATTAAATGATCTATGTCGTACTACATGTATTTTACATCAAATGTGAAACTTCACACATTCTTTATGTACAAAAATAAAACTTTACAGATATAACACAGTTTTCAGGCAATAAAGGACATTCCCCATAATATTAATATATATTAGTTAAATACTGTAGTAATTGGCTTTGATCATGTAAAGAACAAGTCATACTCTGTGCTTACTTAAGGTCAGTAAAGAATATGCTGGGTTTATTTTAGAGACTGAAATATTCATAAGCATCTGTTGCTGTTTAATATACACCACATAAACAAAGAAACATGATGTATCCAATATTTTCATTGGCAGATGTGACAGAATATTGCATAGTTGTGATTTTACCTGAATAAAGAAAGATCTATTGTTGGCTTGTTCAGAAAATGAATACATTTGTGTTGTTCCAATTCTTCTAAGTAGTTCTGAATCAGAATATGTAAAACTGAACTATTCCTTATATAGTATTTTCTCAGAATGTACTCTCTATAAGTGTACTTCTATGGTAGAACATGCACGTACTGCTTTACATTATTAGTTACTTTTAACTCATAATAAAGGCAAGAATGTTGGAATGTTAGCTTTGAAATATTTGTCCCCTAGTTTCAGAAAAAGTGCCAATTTCTTGTAAAGCTGCTGACTAAATCTGTTACCAATATAGTGTTCTAGCAATTCACTCCTGTTCCCTATTGGAAATGGTGTTCTGTTTGGTGGTCAAACAATGGTGTAAAATTTTACTACATTCATATAAAGGTAACTGTTCAACAGTTAAATGTAAAGTGTCTGTACTTCCTGTAGAAAAGATGGAGATGTGCAGAATTAAAAAGTTCAAAGTTCAAGTGAACATGTGACAGTACATGAAAACTTGAATAACATTTAAATGAAAAACTAAAGTATTTCTCTTTATACATTCTTATATCTGTTAAAACCACAAGGAAGTTCATAATGAATGCATGTAGCTATATATATATATATATACATGAAGTTAATGATCAATGTTCAACAATGATCCTGTATGCATGTTGCACAAAAATCATAAAATCATCCTAAGTTGTCTTAAACATATAAATAGACCCAAAGTTGCAATATTTAAAACTTCAATTTTAATATATATAAAAATGTAGAATCTTGAAAGAATTCAATCCATTTATAGATTATGATTTATCTCAAAAATGAATAATCTTCAAAGTAAAATTCTTAAACATATGATTCTACTACATCAGATAGAAATGTGGATTTAAAAATTCAGGTTGGTCTTTAAAATTAAAAGTCAGACTGAGAATGATCCTAAAGTAAGAAAGGTTGGAGCTATGACAAACAATTGTTATGGTTGTAAGCCTTTAATAACTGGTAACAAATGTTATGGTAATAATAACATATAAACTGAATACATTGTTATTCTGGTGTATCCAGATAAATGTTTCCAAATTTTAGTAGAAGATTAACAGAATATCTCCAACCTTGACTTGTCCTAAACTTATTGTTATATGCATTACACAAGTGGAGATCAGTCCAAATACAACAAGTATCTTCTCTTGTGACATCTGCATTGGTAAGTTGTTGACCAGGCCTCGAGTAACTTGCTTACTATAGTGTGGTCTTGTAGGAGAATTGGAATGTTACAAATACTGGTCCCATTTTTCTGTCAAAATAGAACTGCTCTATTGACATGTGTGGCTTGGAAATGTAGGAGTTCCGAGAGGGTATGAAACTAAACAATCCCCCCCAAAAAACGTTAGTTTCTTGTCCTCCCCCCTTCTTATTGTTCATTTTATATGATAATGTGAAGTTCAAGTGCTGTGCATCATGCCTTGTTGTCATTTTACAATGAGAAGTTAGGGCAATATAAACTTAATTGTCCTGCGAGAAATCATAAGTAATACCTGGTAGTTTACTGTAAATAAAGTTTTATTTGTTTCAAAGTAAAATAACTTTGTCGGTCTCTTCCTTTCATGTTACATTTGACTTATTCACACTCTTCTCACACAAATTCTTCAAAACAGCCATTATTGTTGTCTTGTAACTTACCCCTATTAAGTGCACCTTAGAATATCATATATAGATACCATGTATTGAGATTCTATGATAGAGTCTACCTCGTGTTATAGCCGTCTTCACTTCTAGAACTACAGTGAAAATAGCTCAGCACTAGGCATTTATTGATAACAAACAATGATTGTGATTAATCACTCTCCTGGAGTGTAAATGTAAAATTATTTCTTTTCTTTAGAACATGGGTGTTTTTTCATGAAGGCTAATGTACAATAAACACAAGCTTATGTTTCTGTTACGTCTCCGTTCGTTAGTTAATTTTCCGTAAATTTGTTCCAACGAAACTTTAGCGACACAAGTCCTTTCTTAAATAAAACTGGTTTATTCTTTCTGAATACAACTTTGCAATACACTTAATTTCCACAGTCGTGCTATAACAAACGCTATAATTCACAACGAACGTCTCACGTGCTCAACTCAACAATACTTTGTCCGCAGTTCAATTACACATTGTTCCCGTCGCTTCTTGGCCGGTCTTATATATACAAGACTACCCCATATCTAGTAGTCTTCTGACGCTTCATGAACGTTCTAGAAACACGTGGCGTGTTACTAGCGTCACGTGACCTCCGCTGTCGTAACATTTCATTACAGTGTTAGAAAAAATACATTCACAGAAAGCCAGAGGAACTAACATGAAAAGTTCCAAGAACTAAACTTTGACAGAACAGTTTATTCATCATTAAATTTTGCAATGAGTACCGTACAAATTTACAAGTATATACATAATACAATTTTAAAAACTGTTGAGAAAATCTTTACAGTGTGTGTGGAATAATTAACATGACCAACACGACTATTTCACTAATGCCAACAGCTCCTACATTTCATATTAACATGACCATTTCTCCAATGTCAACAACTCCTGTATTTTGTTTTGTTCTACATAATATGTATGACATACATACATGAAACTTGACTTACACTTGAGATGTATAATTTTTATTTTAAATTTCATTGATTCAGATATTTTGTACAACTCTTATATATTATTTAAAAGATGATAAGTTTAAGGCGAAGTATAGGAAAATTTCAAAATCCTACATGTTCTCTTCAGTTTGTTGTTCATCTTCATGTTTACCACTCTTCCCATGATGCTCCTGTAACATTTCAATTTCTTCTGGTGGCGTGCGTACTCTTATTTCCTTCTCAATCATTATGTCATGGATTTCCTCCAATTTGTTTGGGAAATATGCAATACCATCCACATATAGATCCTAAGGTATAAAATATACGAATCATGCAATACCATCCACATATAGATCCTAAGGTATAAAATATACATATATGTATAATACACATGATGAAAACTTGTTGACAGTACAACAGCTCTAGATGTTGCTTCAGAACCACACACATTTATTAAAGCTTTGCATTTAATTTAGCAAGTTCTACCCCTCCTATTTAACCCCTTCCTTAACATTAATTGCTAGTTTTTTTTTCAACATGTTTATGTACATACAACTCCTTTCTTCTTCTCAATAAACTTTAATTCTCCATTTCAGTTATTTGGAGTAATTATACAAACTGCATACATGCTGATACCTAATCTTGCGATTAAAACTGATAAAATGGTGGTAAAATATAATAGTAAGTTTTTCATTTGTACTAAAGATACAAGATATAATGAAAATGGTTTATCCAAAAAACAAAAAATGTAACAGGAGGTGCCACACTGTAAAAATAATTGTTAAAGTGAAACAAGTCAGTTAACTCATGTGATACTAACAATGTAAAGATAAAAATAAATAAAAAATTTGAAAGAAGACTTGGTGTTAAGGAGTTTAAATGATCTGAGCCTTAATTTTAAATAATTTCTACAAGTGTAATATGTCTCTCCTTTACATGACTTACTTAAAATTTCACCGACTTCATGTACAAATTATTAAATCTTACTATAAAGGAATAATGGCATGGCCGTCTATATATCTATCTATCAATGTGACCGAAATAACAAATGAAATGGTGCCATCTGTTGTGGTGAAATACATGATCTCAAACTCAAAATGGATGAACGAGTCTTATGACTCTATCTAAAGTACTACAAAATACAGTCAATAAAAATTTCATGCTTTACATATTCAAGATTCAGGCAGTTAGAAAAATAACTATGGTATGTGCAACAACCATATCTTTATAACAGAATAGAATTTTAAATAAACGCGCTCTCCTTACCACAAGAACACGACTTTTACTAGTACTGTACCGTAGTCTATACGCGAGGGTTTGATTATATGTTTATTGATGAAATTTTTAAATGTAGTACTAAAAACAGGAGTTCTTTAAAAACTCATTTTTCAATAAAAGGTAGTACTTTTAATGTATAAAAACATTACAGTTTATATCAGTAAATTTATGAAAATTTTGAGCTCTGTATAAGTAGCTATTATAAGCAACAAAAGGTATGAAAGTGTACATACTTTTATTACAAGTCAACAGTTTCTGATAATGGCTTAAACTTTAATAACTCAAAACATGTTGTTATGACACTGCACATAAATGCTCATTTTTGAATGCCAAGTGCTGTTACATACAAAAATAAATTGACTTTGAAGCAAGGGTGCCAGAATTGGAAGAGGGGGCATGAAGCAGTGAAGTGAATATAAATGTGTAGTGAACAAAACACTAATAGGCAGATGCTAAAAATAAAATTTGCAACCCTTCTTTATTTGCTACCCCTCACCTCTTTGCTATAACTAATAAACCACTATTCTTGACCCTGCTACCCTTAATAATTTTATAGCTCTTGGTTGAGACTATGTCTGGTCCACAGAAAGTGGGAGTGGCACATACGATTGGGCCTAGGGGTGACAAAAAAATTCAATATCACTGGATGGCCCCAAGGTACTGAAAGGCAGCTTTGTAATATGTTATAAAGAAAGTTACTATATCTAGATTATGAAACAAATACATGATAAAGGTAACAATTTGTTGAGATGGAGATACACAAGATAGTGTCAAATGCCCAAACTCCAGAAGATAGCTTAACCCTATCCCTAAGGGTAGGGAAAAGTGCATATGTCACAACTTTTTATTTGTAGAGAGTTTCATTGTTAAATTTATTTTCTGGGTCTTCCCACTTCTCTAATTTATTTACCACCACCCCTCCAAAAAGTACAGAACTTAATGTAAATTACTCATTATAATACAGATATTACTTAGGCAAAACATAATATTTATAGCCTTCAATCTTATTTGTTTACAGAGCCATAAACTAGAAAACCAGACCCACTGTCCATCTGTCACATCCTCTCTTTCACAAATTGCCAACAGTTGTTTTCTGATGCTTTACACTATATTATTTATAATCAACAGAAAGCCACAATTTTATCAAATGATAGATATTACATTGTTTTCTGTACAAGGCATTGTATATTTCATCGTTCAGTTTTAAATTATTTCTCACAGGAATCACATCAACAAGCTTACCTGAATTATTAAAGCCTCTTATCACATAGTTAGAAAGTCAGAAAAATTATGGTAGTTATAGGACACTGTTTTTTGCATGTTATTACTCTGTCTCTTCTTAGGTGCATTATTTAAGGAAATTAAAAATATATATATTTAGTGTAGTGGAACCATTAGTATAAAAACGTAGGCTTAAGTTTTATGAACAGTCAACATAAAAAAAAAGACCATGTACGTACTATATTTCTGGTTTTTCATGCTAGTTAGCTTGATCCAACTTCCACCATGGCACTCGGGTCGGGTGGCATCGACCAAAGCCAATCTCCCTCAAAATGATAGGAAAATGATCAATGCCCCATGGGTCACTGTCAACCCTCCATGAAAAGTGGGAAAAAAGTGAAGGGAAGCAGATTGACAGATCAGTGGCAGTACAAGACTGACTAGGTGCATGAAAATAAGTTTAAGAAACAGTATTGATGAGAGAAAGGTTGTCATCCTAGAGCATACGCTCTACAGAACGATCCCTCCCATCAATATTAGCACCATCCCAGAGGGTATTGTGTCCATTAAAGTCTCCCATGAGTAAAAAGGGAGATGGCAGCTGTTCAACAAAAGCATAAAGGTCTGATTGATCATAAGTCTCTCCAGGAGACAGGTAGAGGCACGATGCAAGGAAACATGGATGACTACAGCCTCCAAGGGTGTATCAAGTGACACATGCTGGTCAACCAGCAGTGCCACCCCTCCATGCACTCGTCCATCATACAATCTGTCATTCTGGTATAAAGAAAACTGCCGAAAGGTGACTGTATCAGCAGGTTTCAGGAGTGTTTCCTGTGAGGAAAGAAACATGGGATGATAGGAATCGATCAAGGCCTTAATGTCATTGAGATTAGAATGAAAACCTCGACAGTTCCACTGTATCATTTATACGTACGTGGAGGAGAACTGGGTGGAGAACCTTTCTGTTTATGACCATGCTGTTTTTCTTTACCAGAAGGAGGTCTATTGTCATTGGACTTAGATTCCAGCAACTGAGGGTGTGAACAAATGATTGTTCTGCATCTCGGGGTAAAAAAAGATGGACCCAAGCAGACACCAGAAGAGGCTGGGGCCATAGGAGGTGGACCCAGGCAGTCATGGAAGGAATGGTGGGAACAAAGACAGGAGTAGATGTGGACTTGTCAACACAATCATCCATTGAGGTCAAAAGAATCTTCAGAAAGGTCTGTCTACACTCCAACCATAGCAGTGGAGCATGTCTGAGATGGAGTAGGGTACAGTAACTTCTGAGCCTCGGGGTAAGAAATGTTGACAGTCTTTAAACACTGTACCTCTTTCTCCTCCACTCACTTAGGGCAAGATCTATAGTAAGAGGAGTGGGAACCACTATAATTAACACAGTGAGGGTCCACTTGTAGGCATTGTGGTCCTTGCCACCACAATGAACACATATCACAGAACCACGACAAGATGCCTTTGAATGACCAAACCGCTGACAAAATGAGAAAAGTGATAGGCATCATAATTCTGTCTTTACGAGTGGAGATCTGTCGCACTGCAGAAACTCCTTGGCTGCAGAAACCATTGAGAATCTCCGCCTCTGGGATGTTCTACAAATCCCTCTCAACAATAACTACTCGTGAGGAATTCAAAGTTGCATGGGCTAACCTCAATGGGTATATCCCCAAAGGTCTGCAAATTCAAGAGGAGTTCACTGTGTTTTGGTGTACATGTTTCCACTAAGATGTCACCAGAACGTAGCTTCTTTACTGTCTTTGGATAACCAGCAAGCCCCTCTAATCTCTTCTGAATAAAAAAGGGAGACATTTGCCCTAAAGGTTTATCTGACAAAGAATGCAAGATCAGAAAATGAGGTACAGGTACAGAATGGGGTGAAGACTGCTGTTCTGAGTCTCCTAAGCATGGTCATTTTACCAATGAGTGGAATTTTTACAATTTTAGTTTTTTGAGGATTTGGGGATCTATAATGAAAAGAGAAAGATTCAGTGCCCACTAAACCCACCCACCGTGAGTTCCACAAGGGGACACACTACAATGCCAAACAAGGATACTGCAGCAACACCAGGGTTTCGTGAGCACTATACCCAAAACCAACATCAGACACAATGTCCACAATACCCATTGAGAATGCCCAACACTGGTACTCAGTTGACCCTAGCCCAACAGGACCAGCCGATTGACCCTAGGGGGAGCCACCCCAAGGCCACCCGTCTACGAGAACTCAAGGCCAAAGTGGTGTGTTG